AGACACAGCACAGAGACACACAGAGAGACACACAGATAGAGACACACAGAGACACACATAGAGAGACACACAACACAGAGACACACAACATAGACACACAGACATACACACAAGCAGAGAGAGACACACAGAGACACACAGAGAGAGAGACACACACAGACACACAGAGACACACAGAGACACAGAGAGAGACACAACAGAGACACACAGAGAGGGACACACAGACAGACACACAAGCAGAGAGAGACACACAGAGACACACAAGCAGAGAGAGACACAACAGAGACACACACAGAGGGACACACAGACAGACACACCAGCAGAGAGAGACAACACAGAGACACCTGATGACGATTGCTTGTAGGTTGCGATCGAAACGTCGCCATCAATTACCGTCGCAACCAGCGTGCACTTTACCGACAAAGCCAAAGAGTATGGACTCAATTGTTGTTGGAGATTTCAACGCCCACAACAAACTTTTGGCACTCGGCCCTTTCAGATACACGTGGCGACCTCTTTGCCGATATCTCTGAACGGCTCTCCCCTGTGGGGTACTCAATGTAAAATAATCAAACCAGAGTTCATTCACCTGGCCCTTCATCCTCGCCACATATCTTCATAGCGTCAGGAAACCCCCTTTCATCAATCGACTGGCAAAGTACAGTAATAGGTTTTTACCCGTATAGCTGGCACAAAAAAACTGACACCTTTATACAAGGGATCATGATAATTGTTTTTTTAACCCTTTTATCTGGCAACAAATTGGTGACACCTTTTTTTTTAGTTGTACGTCGTATGGTGTCATCTGGTCCAACACCAGTGGAGACTAAGGGGTCTAAGAAAAGCCGTCTCGGGTGTGGACCAATCAATTTCAAGGACAGTGCCAATATCATTATCAGAGTTGTCTCTTTTTGTTCGCATTTTGACTGCTTGTGTTGTGGCTATTGCAAACATGATCCCCTTGTATAAAGGTGTCAGTTTTGGTGCCAGATAAAATGGTAAAAATCTATCACAATACTTTGACACCATGTTCAGCTTCGCTCAACACGGCAGAAACGTCCGTGAAAAAAAGTTAACAAACGAAAGAAAATATTACGAGCCTTAGCCGGCACATCACGGGGTCAACAAAAGGAGACTTTCCTCCTAACCTACAAAGCCATTGGACGTCCCATCATCAATTCAGCCAGTCCCATTTGGTTGCCCAAACCTCTCCTCTACTGGTTACCAAAAGCTCCAAACCCCCCCCCGCCAACACCCCAGACACTTCGCCTAGCCACGGGATGCCACCTCATGGCACCCATTGACATCTCCACCAAGAAACCAAAAATTCTTCCGATTCAAGAACACTGCAAGCATCTCACCGATCAATATCCGGCTTCATGCCACTCGACAACGCATCCTTGCACAAAGCTACTCAAAGCCCCCCCCTCCCCTGCACCTGCTAGGAAAATGAAATCCACCTTGCTTTTCTTCAGCTCTGCCAACGTGCGATCTACTTTAAACGCTCTTACACCAAATACAACCACCAATTAAATCTTGAACCACTTGCACACCGTTGCCGCCATGCACTGCCTGGACGCCTCCACAAGCCCCCAATGTCGTGCTTGGGGATGGTTGGCCCCCAGCCATAGCAGACGACGAAAAATCCCTGACCTGGGCGACTCACCTTCTTCACGGTTCTTTAGCTTAAGTCGCCGCGTAGAAGGGAAATAATAAAAGAATTAAAAATAAAACGTAACACAATAAAATTCTCACGACGTTTGTTTTATTACGTTTAAAAAAAATATATTATTATTTTATTGTTTCCCTTCTACGTGGTGACGACTTTACCGAAAGAACCAAGAATAACTATTTTATTGTTTTAGATTTTTATTATTTTGTTTCCCTTCTACGTGGTGGTGACTTTACCGAAAGAACCAAGAATAACTATTTTATTGTTTTATATTTTTATTATTTTGTTTCCCTTCTACGTGGTGGTGACTTTACCGAAAGAACCAAGAATAACAATTTTATTGTTTTATATTTTCATTATTTTATTGTTTCCCTTCTACGTGGTGGTGACTTTACCGAAAGAACCAAGAATAACAATTTTATTGTTTTACAATAATTTTATTGTTTTATATATTTTTATTATTTTATTGTTTCCCTTCTACGTGGTGGTGACTTTACCGAAAGAACCAAGAATAACAATTTTATTGTTTTATATTTTTATTATTTTATTGTTTCCCTTCTACGTGGTGGTGACTTTACCGAAAGAACCAAGAATAAACTATTTTATTGTTTTACAATAATTTTATTGTTTTATATTATTATTTTATTGTTTCCCTTCTACGTGGTGGTGACTTTACCGAAAGAACCAAGAATAACAATTTTATTGTTTTATATTTTTATTATTTTATTGTTTCCCTTCTACGTGGCGGTGACTTTACCGAAAGAACCAAGAATAACTATTTTATTTTTTTACAATAATTTTATTGTTTTATATTTTTATTATTTTATTGTTTCCCTTCTACGTGGTGGTGACTTTACCAAAAGAACCAAGAATAAACTATTTTATTGTTTTACAATAATTTTATTGTTTTATATTATTATTATTTTATTGTTTCCCTTCTACGTGGTGGTGACTTTACCGAAAGAACCAAGAATAACAATTTTATTGTTTTATATTTTTATTATGTTATTGTTTCCCTTCTACGTGGTGGTGACTTTACCGAAAGAACCAAGAATAATAATTGTATTGTTTTATATTTTTATTATTTTATTGTTTCTCTTCTACGTAGTGGTGACTTTACCGAAAGAACCAAGAAAATTAAACCCCTCCATTCACGAAAGGTTTAAATAAAAATAATATTCCAACTATATTCTTGGTTCTTTCGGTAAAGTCACCACGTAGAAGGGAAACAATAAAATAATAAAAATATAAAACAATAAAATATCTTGCTGTGGTTTTCACACCTGATGATGATTGCTTGTGGTTGCAGTCGAAACACCGTGAGAATTTTATTGTTTTATACATTTTTATCATTTTATTGTTTCCCTTCTACGTGGTGGTGACTTTTACCGAAAGAACCAAGAATATCAATTTTCTTGTTTTACAATATTTTTATTGTTTTATATTTTTATTATTTTATTGTTTCCCTTCTACGTGGTGGTGACTTTACCTGCAGTCACGAAAGCTTGAAATCCAAACCGGCTCAACTCGGTTCAGGTGACTGCTGCTCCATGCTAGCCGATTTACCAAAATCGAATCGACCCAAACGCCCCAAACTGCTGCTGCTGCCCTTGGTGCCAAGCAACGCCCGAAGACGTCTCCCGTTTTCTCAGTCGCCCAAGGCGCGGAACCAAAAAGTCAACCCATCGATCTCCGGCTAAACCCTTCCAGAGTCTCGACAACACCACCGATGAACAGAGAGTGCGAGGAAAACACCAACAACAACAACCACCACCATTGCCACACCACATACACTACCGATACCAAAACCCCACCCCCCCTGCCCCCGTTCGCCACTAAGCGACGGTGACGTCACCACGGGGCCTGTGCCAGGCTAGGTGCACTTTGAGGCTACCACGTGAAGTGTCGGAGGCCTCGCTGCTGGCAGGAGGAGGTCTCGGGACAGACCCAGCAGGTGCCATGGGTTGGCTGAGTGAGATGACCGGTAGATGCACCACCAGCTGTACCCCTACTGTGCCAGGCTAGGTGCAGGATGAGGTCACGGGGATAGACCCAGCAGGTGCCACGGGTTGACCGACTGAGATGACTGGCTGATGCACCACCTGTGCCCCCCACTGTGCCAACTTGCTGCAATTTAGCCGCCCGGCGCTCCGCTCGTTGTTGTGAGCGTCGCTCCTCCGCCCTCCGTTGTTGTTGGAAGGCGACTGCCTCCAACTGCCCAGTAGCGTCCTTCACGAGCCTCCTCCACAGAGGCCGATCTTGACACCGCTGGTACCAGTCATCGGCAAGTCCACTCAGCTCCACGTCCTCCTGTACCACATCACTCCATCTCTTCTCTAGCCCGTGCCGCGCCCGTTTAGCCCCCTCGATCTGGACGAACAAAAGCTGTTTCGGCATGCGGTGGCTGGGCATGCGGGCTACATGACCCAGCCATCGCAGCCTTGCCCGCTGGAGGAGCTCACCGATGGGACTTTGCCCAGATCTTTCAAGGATTTGTGAGCTCCTCACACAATCCAGCCTGGTTAAACCCAGGATGGATCGTAGGCAGGCCAGCCTAAATGTTTCTAACTGGCGATGATGTTCCATTTGGGGGTCCACGTTACATCACCACTGCCACCTCCACCACCACCGCATACATCACCACCACACCACTCACCACCCCACCACTCACCACAACACTCACCACCAAATCCCTCACCACCACAACCCTCACTTCCCTCACCACCACACCACTCACCACCACACCACTCACCACCACACCACTCACCACCACAGCACTCACCACCACAACCACTCACTTCCCTCACCACCACACCACTCACCACCACACCACTCACCACCACACCACTCACCACCACAACCACTCACAACCACTCACCACCACAACCACTCACCACCACAACCACTCACCACCACAACCACTCACCACCACACCACTCCCCACCACAACCACTCACTTCCCTCACCACCACACCACTCACCACAGCACTCACCACCACACCACTCACCACCACAACCACTCACTTCCCTCACCACCACATCACTCACCACCACAACCACTCACCACCACAACCACTCACCACAACAACCACTCACCACCACAACCACTCACCACCACACCACTCACCACCACAACCACTCACAACCACTCACCACCACAACCACTCACCACCACAACCACTCACTTCCCACAACCACTCACCACCACAACCACTCACCACCACAACCACTCACTTCCCACAACCACTCACCACCACAACCACTCACCTGCACGGTCAACTACCACTCCCGCAGACGCCACGCTCCTTCCACCACCACCACCACCGGCACCACCACCACCACCGGCACCACCGCCACCACCGGCACCACCACCGCCACCTCCCTTCACCAACAGGCAGCGGTCACTCCGCACGCAGTTGGCATGCGGGCCCTGCTCGGGTCGGCAATAGAGGGGCGAGCCGAGGTGCGGCGGCCTGGGCACGTGCTTCTTGCGCCTGTTGGGCAACTTCTGCTTGGCCATGGCGAGCGAGTAGTACATGCTGAAGTTGTTGACGATGACGGGCACAGGCATGGCGATGGTGAGCACCCCGGCCAGCGCGCACAGGGCGCCCACCAGCATGCCGGACCACGTCTTAGGGTACATGTCCCCGTAGCCCAGCGTCGTCATCGTCACCACGGCCCACCAGAAGCCGATGGGGATGTTCTTGAAGCTGGTCTGCTGATGCTGCTGGTGACTGTGGTGGTCAGACGACGACGAGGAGGAGGAGGAGGAGGAGGAGCTGGACGCGGAGCTGGACGCGGAGGAGGGCGTCCCGTCGTCCTGGTCGAACGAGTGCCCGAGACCCAGGCGCTCGGCGTAGTAGATCATGGTCGCGAAGATGAGCACGCCCAGGGCGAGGAAGATGACGAGGAGCAGGAACTCGTTGGCGCTCGCGCGGAGCGTGTGGCCCAGGACTCGCAGGCCCACGAAGTGCCGCGTCAGCTTGAAGATGCGCAGAATTCGCACAAAGCGCACCACGCGCAGGAAGCCGAGGACGTCCTCGGCGCCCTTCGATGTCATGCCCGTGAGGCCCACCTGTTGGGGGGGGGGGGTGGGGGGGGGGGGCGGAAGGGGGACGGGGGGGGGCAGGAGGGGGAGGGAGGAGGAGTGGGGGTGAAGGAGGAGGGAGGGTAGGAGGGGCCAAGGAGGAGTGTGGAGGAGGGAGGAGAGGGAGGGAGGGGAGAGGGAGGGGGGAGGGAGGAGGAGGAGCGTGGAGGAGAGGGAGGGGGGCGTACGGGGAGGGAGGAGGAGTGGGGAGGAGGGAGAAGGAGGAGGGAGGGAGGAGGAGTGAATGAGGAGTGTGGGAGGACGGAGGGAGGGAGGGGGGCGTAGGGGGGAGGGAGGAGGAGGAGGGAGGAGGTGGGAGTAGGGGGTGGTAGTGGGGGAGGTATTTGTGGAGGGACGCATGGACAGAATGTTGGCGATACGTGGAGAGATATGGAGATGTGGAATCATCATCATCACCCACACATCGCCATCGGCCTTTCTCCAAAATTGATACTAACAATGATTTTGCCGCTAATTAACAGTCAATAAATAAATAAAGAACACACACGAACCAGACTCACAGCAAGCAGCAGATGGAGATCGTAAAAAAAGGGGCCAATTTAAAATAAATAAATAAACCGTTAACTCCGGGGCGAAGGAAGGTTAGCGATTATCTGAAAGATCTCCAGATGAACAAGCCTGTTTGATGTAACACTGGGTCGGGGTCACCAAGAGGGGGAGAGGAAATTCCTAGCCGAGAGTTCGACTCCCCACTTCCGTCAGCCGCAGACACAGGACGCCAGCACACGGATTCAAACAATTGCCCCCTTCATTGCTATTGGGGGTAACGTTAAAAATGTAGTGCTTGGCAACAATGAGTCAACATCATAGGGAGTCCGCGCACTTCACTGGGGCCAGGCTGCAATCCACATGCCGGGGTGTTGCTTCGCACACGTAGTGGTTAACACGCACGTTGTGCACCATGATATTTCCATCACATCTCGCCGTTACGTAACCTTACAAGGCCAAGGAATGTGAATTCGGGCAGTCAAGGAAGTGAGGGCAAACGCATATCTCTGACCTCGAGAACGGAAGGCGCGTATCCCTGTGCGCGGACTGTGCGAGCAAAGGAATAAGCCCCTTTGGAATATCGGAGGAAACGTCCAATGACGAACTGTTGAATCAGAAATCTTGGGAACATTAATCAAGGGAAATGTTTGTGCAGTGTCGAATCGGGGGGGGTTGTCCAGAGGAGGCGAGGCAGACGGGTCAGGCTTGCGAGGCCAGAGAGAGAGAGGAAGAGAGCCTCCCGGCCGCCTTTGTCTTCCCGCAGCGCGGGAGAACAGGAATGTGGCAACAGAGCGAGGACATCGCTTGTTGTTGCAAAGAGGGAGCCATCTGTACGCCACGCATGAAGGGATAGCTTGGGGAGGGGACGCTGATCAGTGGAGGGACGCAGATGTCTTGATGGGATGACACACACACGGACGCACACACACACACAGGCCACGCCCCCCCCAATGCGCAGAGCGGAGATTTTTTCGAATGTAACAGCTCAGCCAGCATCTCGACAGACCAGTTCAACAAGGCACAGCGAGTTCAACAAGTCAGCCAGCTCAGGAGCTACAGAAGAGGGCGTCGGACGGCAGGCCCGGGGTGGCCCCGCGATCAACTGTAAATGAATTTCGATTTGAAGCTTTCGTGACTGCAAGGATTCATCTTCTTTGGTTCTTTCGGTAAAGTCACCACGTAGAATGAGAATAAATTAATACATTGATAAAATAAAATAACACAATAACATTCTCACGACGTTTTGGCCACAACACAAGCTGTCCTCCAGACAGTCTCGTCCCTTCACCTGATGAAGGCTGCTTGTGTTGTGGCCGAAACGTCGTGAGAATTTTATTGTGTTATTTAATTTTATCAATTTATTATTTTATTCTCATTCTACGTGACTTTGCAGAAAGAACTAAAGAAGACAACTGAGAATGGCGAGGCTCGCCGAGTAGCGATGCATCAACGAGCGTGAGTTCAGAGCCGAAAGACGAAGCATCGCTCAAAGACTTTATTTCAACATCGAGTGCCAGCCGCCAGCGGCCAAGCGCGCGCGACTTGGCTCATCCAGCAGCGGAAAGGGCCTGACCAGCCGCCCGCGAGCAAAAAGAGTCAGCCACCAGAGAGCGTTCGGCGCTAGCTAGAGAGCGCGCAACCAGTGAGAATCACGCCGATGGCGTACAACCACGCTCGCTGCGAGCGGACGAGCTGTGAGCGCCATCTACCGACGGAACACCGCGACTACAGCACCGTGTCAACCCGTCAATCTGCATCAGCCGAACTCCAGCCGACCGCGTGAAAGAGGAAAACCCGGCTGTTCGTATGATAGGCACTCTGCCGCACACTGCCACCACGTCACCTGACGTATGCTTTACGCAACGAGTTGAACAAGTGGCAGAGAAGACACACGACACGCGTATCGGGACAAGTAAGATCGTCCCACAAAGTTATCTTTGTGTTTCAAGAAGGGTTGCCGTTCCAAGGTGGTGCGTTAAATATCAGCTGGTCGCGAGGAACATTACCGCCATTGAGTTACGTGGATACGGTCATTTAGAAGCAACTCAGTCGTACGTTTTTTTTTTCGTTTTCATTTTAATGGCATAATCTTGCCAATGAATTAATTGATAACTATTCTTGCCTTCGGGACATGTTTCTTTATTGCCACCTCGTATGAATATCGTTGCATGAATTTATGGGGACTTTTTGTTCCCATCGCCGTGTATGCTCGCGTACTCTGAGGAATAATCTATTGTTCTGTCACCCAGTTAACAAACGTGATCATTGAAGAGATGGATCCATGAGTGGAACTTCTCCTGCACTACTGTGTGGGCAATTTCAAGAACAAGAATTTGCATATTAGATTATTAAGGTTTTTGTGTAGAATAGCATGCATGTTTTAACGACTCTCTCTCTCACCAACTTAGCTCGCGTTACGCGGTGAAATTAATCACATGTGCCGTTGCCATTGTGAAACAACGGAATCGTTGATGTTTACCGTATCGATACTGTGTTGAAAATTGCAAGATTGAGAGTTCGCATATTATATTAGAGTTAAGGTTTCATTTAGAATAAATTGCTCAAACACAGAAGTTCGGTGTGTTTCCTTCCTGTTCATGCATAATAATCTTATTACAAGAACTGTATTCTGCGTTGAGATCTGAATTTGGAGACCTGACATAAACACACTCATACACTCAGTAAATGTTAAAGCGAGAATAATTGTATTCATACTCTTTGGTTCTATTGGGTAAAGTCACGTAGGTAAAAAATAAAATAACAAAAATCACGACGTTTCGGCCACAACACAAGCGGCCTTCATCAGGTGAAGGGACGAGACTGTCTGGAGGACAGCGCTGGAGTGGGAGAAGCCACGCTTAGATCATGACCTTTAAGCTGTGTGAGAAGAAACAAAGCGCCTTGACAAAGGAATTAGCATATAATTTAGCATTGAAATGGCTGAGTGATTAGCTTGTAACTGGTCACAGAAATAGCTATTTAAAGTCAGAGCATATACATTCACCGAGGCACCTAGTACAAATCAAACAGGATAATTTAGCGAAACACAACCACGCTCAGACCGCGGACCTTTAAACTGTGTGCGAGCAAACAAGGTGTCCTGACAAAGAAATTAGCGTAAAAAATAGCATTTGATTGGCCGATTTTAGAAAAGAGGTGGTTTATGTGCCGGTGGACTTGCCGTTTGGATCCTAGCAGTCACGAAAGCTTTAAATCTAGAATAATTGTATTGCCGAGCGTTAATGCGGGCCTAAACAATAAAGCGGAGCTTACTCTGGCATACTTGCATCACGCCGGTATAACTTCATACGATTAATTGTATGATCCCGATTGATAACCCGACCCTCGTCAGCGAGGCGGGGCCAAATTATCATAACGGCTCGCATTAGCATAATCACGCACTCGCATACGTTAATACAATTACGTCTCGAATTAGCATAATGTATGCTCATAATTACATAATTAACACAAATTCGGATAATTATCCATTTTTAAAAATTCATTTAATTTCTATTATTTTCATCAAAATTTTCATAACTGACAACAATCCCCCACACATCACCATCAACAACAACAACAACATTTTCCCACCACAACAAACCAGCAAACTCGCCACCACCACCACCACAACCAACCACCACAACCAACCAGCCACCACCACCGCCACAACCAGCAGCGCCAGCTGCGCCCACCTCCAGGTAGAATGGCAATATGGCGACGAAGTCGATGACGTTGAGATAGTTGCGCACGAAGAGGCCCTTGCTGGGGCAGCAGACGACGCGAACGAGGAACTCGAAGGTGAACCACGCCACGCAGACGCCCTCCACGAGGGTCAGCGCCCGGTCCGTCTCGACGCGCGAGCGCGTGGCCGTGCGGCCGCTCGCTGGGTCCACCACCTCGGTGCGGTTCACCGCGTGGTTGAAGTGCTCGTGGGTCTCCAGGCAGAAGGTGGTGATGGAGACGAGGATGAAGAAGAGCGACGCGAAGGCGATGAACTGTCGTGCGGGTGGGGGGGGGGGGTGAGGGGGGAGAGGGGGGGGGGAGGTGGGGGAGAGAGCGAAGGAGTGAGACAGGGATGCCCATTGTCGGGACAACTTCATGCCCTGGCATTAGAGCCCTTCCTGAGTCTCATAAGGTGGAGACTCAGCGGCCTGGTGCTCAGGGAACCAAGCGTCAAGTTGGTCCTGACGGCGTACTCCGACGACGTCCTCCTCATCCTGCGTTCCCTGGATGATGTCGCCCTGCTGCACGAGTGCCAGGAGGTCTTTTCGAAGGCCTCCTCATCAAAAATGAACTTGGCAAAAGTGCAGCGGCCTGCCGGTTGGAGCGTGGGACATGACCGAGTGTCCCGAGAAGGCAAAAGCCATCAATTGGAGCACAACAACGCTGCACCACCTGGGGGTGTTCCTCGGACCAGAGGAGGAACCACCGCAAAGGAACTGGGTCGAGCTGGAGTCGCCTGTGCAAGTTCCTCACCTTCAGGACAAAGACGTTGGTGGTGAACCAGCTGGGTGGTGACGTCCATGCTGTGGCACCGACTCTTCTCCCTGCACCCCCCCCCCCCCCCATGAGCCTCGTCAACGCACTTCAGAAGCGAGTCCTCGACTTCTTCTGGTCGGGTGGAGGAGACCGGGTCGCGGCTGGGGTCCTGGCCCTGCCACTGGACGAGGGCGGTCACGGGCTGGTGTGTGTCTGGAGTCAGCTGGCCACCTTCCGACTTGCAGGACGCGCAAAAGTTCCTGCACGCCACCCCTGCACCGGCCTGGAGCGCCACGGCTTCCTTCCTCCTGAAACAGCTGGGGGGTCTGCAGTGCTCCAAACAACTATTCTACACGGACCTGCAGGGCCTCCCACTGGGACAGCTGCCACCCTTCTACAGGAGCGTCCTGCAGACACGGAGCTCCCTCGCCGTCAGGAGGCTGAACCAGCCACGATCGGCCGAGGATCTGGTCTTCGAACCGATCCTCAGGAACCCCACAGACAAAGCTGCCATCCACCACCGCTGCCACCCCTGGCATGGAGAGGCGCCTCGCCAACGCGCGGCTCACCAGGATGGGAGATCTGGTGGAGCCTGAAACACGGAGCTGGTGGCTCGGACCAGCAGACATGGCCACAAAGACAGGGGGGCTGCAGTTACTCCGGGTGGCTGCCTGGATCCTGGCCGAAGCCAAGGGGGCATTCTCAGCGGCAGCGGGGAGAACGCCCCCCATCGGCGTTGGGGATGACGAGGCCCCTCTCGGTCCCCCTCCACCGGAGCTCTCAGTCGTGCCACTGCATCGCCAATGCCGACAAACGAAGGCGGATCACAACCTGTGCCGGCTGGAAGACCTGCCGGAGGTGGCCTTCACAAATGTAAAGAGGAAGGTGCTCTACTCCTACACGGTCCGGTTCCACCAACAGGACACCCTGAGGAGCCACAAGGACCATGCCTGGAGAAGAGCCCTGCCCTGCGTCTCTCCGGAGAGGCCTCGCTGGAGGCAACTCTACTCCAGACCGACGTACAACCGCATCGGCGACCTCAGCTGGAGCATCGCCCACGGCACCGTCACCACCAACGCCTCCCCGGCGCGCTTCACCGACACGTCCCCGGAGTGCCGGTTCTGCGGTAAAGTGGAGCCAATGGCGCACCAATACGTGGAGTGCAAGAGCCTGGACTCGCTGTTCAAGGTCCTGAGAAACATCCTCCTAAGGTTCAGCCTCCACTTCTCCCCGACGGTCCTCATCTTTGGATACCCGAAGGGCGACGGACCCCAACATCTTCAGGGGCTGGTCAACGTGCTCTTCGGCTACGCCAAGCTCGCCGTGTACAGGGCGAGGAAGGTGGCCCTGGAGGGGCAACGTCCGGCCAGCAGCCTGGGCATCTTCCGCGCTCTGGTCGGAGCCAGGGTGTGGCTGGAGTTCCGCCACGCGCGGCTGACCCACGCCGTGCCGGCCTTCAAGGAGCAGTGGGCGCTGGAGGAGGCCGTGTGCTCGGTGGCAGATGACGGTAGAGAGCTCTGTGCATGCAGATCTGAGCTACCCGTCGGAGGCCGTTTGACTGTGGGAAGGGCTGCGTGCAGATGCAGCACTTGTCGTAGTTATAAAAAAAAGAAAGAGCGAGAGAGAGAGCGAGCGGGAGAGAGAGAGAGCGAGAGCGACATGGAGTAGGAAGAGAGGGGGTAGAGAGAGAGAGAGGGTTGGCAGAGAGGGGGGTAGAGAGAGAGAGAGGGAAGGGGTAAGGAGAGCAGTGCGAGAAATATTTTGTTAAATCTTTCATTTTAAAATGGGGGGGGGGGGAGGGGGGGTTTACGTAAAGCAAAGCATTAAAAAAAACGAAATGATGAAGGAAGCAAAGTGCCGACTACACAGAACATCTTCTTGTTTCCTCTCTGATCGTTAAAACAAACAAAAATAGAGTGAAGGGGTGGGGGGAGAGATAGGGGAGAGGGTAGAGAGGGAGGAGGGAGATAATGAAGGGGGGGAGGGAGATAGGGGAGAGGGAGAGAGTGGGGAGAGAGTGAGGGGGGGATAGGGGAGAGTGGAGAGAGGGAGGTTGGGGAGAGTGGAGAGAGGGAGCGAGTGAAGGTGGGAGGGAGATAGGGGAGAGGGAGAGAGTGGGGAGAGAGTGAGGGGGGGGGGAGATAGGGGAGAGTGGAGAGAGGGAGATAGGGAGAGAGTGAGGAGGGGAGAGATAGGGGAGAGGGGAGAGCGGAGTTCGGGAGGGGACAGAGAGTTCAGAGAAAGAGGGAAATCATGTGAAGAGAGAGGGGAGAGAGAGAGGGGGGAGGTGATGTAATGGTGGTGTTTAGGCTTCCCTATTCATCCAGCAGTGGACAGACCATACCTGCGTGTGTGTAGGGCTCGCCGGGGAGTGGTGGCGCAGCGGTTAGCGCACTGCGCACAGCCAACGATCATATGAACAGGAATGGGGACCTCCCCTAGGTCGACTCAGGCTCGAACGATCACCTGAGTTGCGGTGTGCAGTAAACATCGCCACTGGGGGAGACAAAGGCGGCCTGGCGTGGTCCTGGCCACCCACCCCCTCGTGTGCCACAGGGCCGGCCAAGAGAGATGCTGACACTCGTCAACAGCACTTGCCCGGACAGTCTGTTGCAGGCTATACGGGGGATCTTTGTCTCTGTTGCTTGTGGGTAGTTGTGCTGCGTTCTCGGGTTGTGTCCGACGTTCCGTGCGTGGAAGCGAAATGAAAACAAGCTCCCAGCAAGGGGGTTGCGAAACGTCTAACGTCGTGGGGCAATCCCCATGGGGCAGCTGTGCATAGAGACACATAGACTCACACAGAGACCCGTCGACTCACACAGAGACCCATAGACTCACACAGAGACCCGTCGACTCACACAGAGAGGCATAGACTCACACAGAGACATGTAGACTCACACAGAGACCCGTAGACTCACACAGAGACCCATAGACCCACACATAGACCTGTAAACTCACACAGAGACCCGTAGACTCACACAAAGAGGCATGGACTCACACAGAGACATATAGATTCACACAGAGACCCGTAGACTCACACATAGACCCGTAGACTCACACAGAGACATGTAGACTCACACAGAGAGGCATAGACTCACACAGAGACACATAGACTCACACAGAGACCTGTAGACTCACACAGAGACACATAAACTCACCACACAGATACACAAAGACTCATCACACAGAGACCCATAGACTCATCACACAGAAACCAATAGACTCATCACACAGAGACCCATAGACTCATCACAAAGAGTCTCATAGACTCACACAGAGATACCCTTAGACTCATCACACATAGACCCATAGACTCATCACACATAGACCCATATAATCATCACATAGAGACCCATAGACTCATCACACAGAAACCCATATACTCATCACACAGAAACCCATAGACTCATCACACAGAAACCCATAGACTCATCACACAGAAACAAATAGACTCATCACACAGAGATCCATAGACTCATCACACAGAGACCTATAGACTCACCACACAGAAACCCATAGACTCATCACACAGAGACGCATAGACTCATCACACAGAAACCCATAGACTCATCACACAGAAACCTAGAGACTCATCACACAGAAACCCATAGACTCATCACACAGAAACCCATAGACTCATCATATAGAGACCCATAGACCCGTCACACAGAGACCCATAGACTCATCACACAGAGACCTATGGACTCATCACACAGAGACCCATAGACTCATCACAAAGAGACTCATAGACTCACACAGAGAGACCCTTATACTCATCACACATAGACCCATAGAATCATCACACAGAGACCCATAGACTCATCACATAGAGACCCATAGACCCATCACACAGAGACCCATAGACTCATCACACACAGAGACCCATAGACTCAACACACAGAGACCCATAGACTCACCACACAGAAACCCATACTCATCACACAGAGACGCATAGACTCATCATATAGAGACCCATAGACCCATCACACAGAGACCCATAGACTCACCACACAGAGACCCATAGACTCATCACACAGAGACCCATAGACTCATCACACAGAGACCCATAGACCCATCACACAGAGACCCATAGACTCATCACACAGAGACCTATGGACTCATCACACAGAGACCCATAGATGCATCACACAGAGACCCATAGCCGCATCGCACATCACTATAGAATCACTACACAGAGACCCATAGACTCGCGCTGGGAGTCATAGTCTCACACGGGCACATGGTGTGGATTTAAATGCTATCGTACACTTTGTGTGTGTGTTTTGGGTCGAACTCTGTGTGTGTGTGTATGTGGTCACCCATCCACTTACAACCTCACTCTCTCATCAATCAGTCATCAACCCGTACCCCTCCCTGCCCGACTGCCCGCGTGGCCCCACACGCCACCCACAACGCTGAGATGAGCCACAGCGCTCTTAATGGAGATCATTGATCACGCCCGTGTCGGGAGAAGCTTTCGGGAAGTCGGGAGAGTGTCTGGGTCGAGGTTCACACG